ATTTGTCCCTTTGCAGGTATAGAGCAGATTCAGTTCAGTTCAATGTAGTGAGTGAGTCATCCATCAACTGAAATCCATTTCCCTTTCTGCTTATCCTTGCTTCTAAAACAGCACCATCCAATAGAACTTTCTGCAACAATGGAAATATTCTATCTGTGCTAGCCAATAAGGCAGCCAGTAGCCAAATGTAGCTATTGAACACTTGCAATATGGTTTGTGTATCAGAGCGATTGAATTTTTAATTTCAAATAATTTTAATAAAAATGTAAAGAGCTACAGCTACCTAATGGCTGCTTTATTGGACAGCACAGATAAAGAATGCTTATAATAGTCCTGATAACACACTGCAGTCTAGAAGACTAAAGTCATGAGCCCCAAATTAAGCTGAGTAAATGATTCCTCCATAACTCAGAGATGTCAAATTTAAAATGACAGGAGATATTTGTGTGCTGTTTGTACTGTAATTTTTGCCACCAGGGGAACCCAATAAAATGTCATTGTTTTTTGTGCAATAAACCATGTTTCTAGAACCAAAAAAGTCTTTCTTACTAGATAATAACGTCTTGGTCATCTGCCTTAATAAATGGGTCATGTCCAATTTCATAGATAGATCCTGATTCTCTCTCCCATGTTCTGTTATTAACAATTACATTGTATTTTAGGTCATTAGAGGTCTCTTCAGAGCTACTGATCTGACAGGTTGAGCGTAACAGACAGATATTTCTTCCCTGGGCTTCTTTGCCAACAATAGCTACTTCTCAGATTAAATACAAACATTTCACCAGGGACACATATATATATATTTATATTTTTTATATTTTATATTTATATATTTATATATATTATATATATATTTAATATATATTATATATTATATATTTAATATATATTATATATAATATATATATTTTATATTTATATATAGACACATACACACAATATATTCATGTTTCTATATTGTGTTATCTGAATTACATATGTGTAACACATAAATTATTAATAAACTTGAAAATTGCTCAACCTCAGTAGAAAATACACATTTAAGTGAAATATTATTATTTAACTATCAAAATGCAAAATTTTCAAGATTTAGAATACCTTCTTTTGGCAAAGTAGGGAGGCACTGTTACTCTCATATCCTGTAGGTAAAAATATAAATGGATACAGCTATTTAAAAGACAATTTAAACCTATCAAAATTAGCATAGCCTCTCTGCTTCTGGATACTTGAAATATTCATTCAGCATATACACTCAGATACACTGCACATGCTAGGATGTTCACATGGCACTGTTGGTAATTATACAAAAGCAGCAACAATTTACATGTCCGACAGAGGAATGGTTAGCTATGGTACATCTGTATCATTCAGCAATTCAGAGAATAAAGATCTCTATGAACTAATAGAGAAAGGTCCCTAGGTCATGCTGTAAAGCAAGTTATAGAACAATACATGTATCACATTTATCCTGCTAAAACCTACATTTTATAAAAATATCTAACTACAGGCCAGGCGTGGTGGCTCACATCTGTAATCCCAGCACATTGGGAGGCCGAGACAGGTGGATCACCTGAAGTCAGGAGTTCAAGACCAGCCTGGCCAACGTGGTGAAACCCAGTCTCTATTAAAAATACCAAAAATTAGCCAGGCATGGTGATGCATTCTTGTAATCCCAGCTACCTGTGAGGCTGAGGCAGGAGAATTGCTTGAACCTGGGAGGCGGAGGTTGCAGTGAGCCAAGATGGTGCCACTGCACTCCAGCCTGGGCAACAGAGAAAGACCCGGTCTCAAGAAAAAAAAAACACATATACACACACACACACATATATACATATATATAATATATATGCATATATATATATATTTAGCTACAATTGATTAACAAAAACTTTTCCTAGTTGAGGTAATTCTGAGAAGCAAATGATGCTTAGGGGGAGTGATACCATGGACACCTCTAATTTGTTCTTTGAATTTGTCCCTTTGGGGGTGTAGAGCAGATTCAGTGAAGTTCAGTACAGTGGATGAATTAGCCATTAACTTAAACCCATTTTCCTTTCTGCTAATCCTACATAGAAAAAAGTCTGCAAGGATACACACCATACTGTTGTGACCACTGATGATGGTCATCACTAGGGAAAAACAGCAGGTTTGAAGTGAGAAGGTAAAAGGAGATTTTGTTTGTTTGTTTATTTAAGACAGGGTCTCACTCTGTCACCCAGGCTGGAGGGCAGTGGCATGATCATAGCTCACTGTAACCTCGAACTCCTGGGTTCCAGTGAACTCCTGGGTTCCAGTGATCCTCCCACCTCAGCCTCCAGAGTAGCTAGAACTACAGGCAAGCACCACCACACCTGGCTATTTTTTATTTTTTTATAGAGTTCTTGAATGTTACCCAGGCTGTTCTCAAACTCCTGGGCCCAAGCAGTCCTCCCACCTTAGCCTTCCAAAGTGCTGAGATAATAGGCATGAACCACTGCACCTGGCTGAGATTTTATCTTTTAACTTCTTGTTTGAATCTTTGTTTAACCAAGAACATGCTCATAAGGCCAGGTATGGTGGCTCACACCTGTAATCCCAGCACTTTGGGAGGCTGAGGCGGGTGGACCACTTGAGGTCAGGAGTTTGAGACCAGCCTGGCCAACATGGTGAAACACCGTCTCTACTAAAAATACAAAAATTAGCTGAGCGCAGTGGCTTATGCCTGTAATCCCAGCACTTTGGGAGGCAGAGGTGGGTGGATCACCTGAGGTCAGAAGTTCAAGACTAGCCTAGCCAACATGGTGAAACCTTGTCTCTACTAAAAATACAAAAATTAGCCAGGCATGGTGGTGGGCGCCTATAATCCCAGCTACTCGGGAGGCTGAGGCAGGAGAATCATTTGAACCTGGGGAGTGGAGGTTGCAGGGAGCCAAGATTGTGCCATTGCACTCCAGCCTAGGCAACAAGAGCAAAACTCAGTCTCAAAAAAAAAATAAAAAATTAGGGGCTGGGTTTGGTGGCTCATGCCTGTAATCTCAACACTTTGGGAGGCCAAGGTAGGCAGATCACCTGAGGTCCTGAGGTCAGGAGTTCGAGACCAGCCTGGCCAGCATGGTGAAACCCGATCTCTACTAAAAAAATAAAAATAAAAATAAATAAAAAAATTAGCTGGGCTTGGTGGTGGCCACCTGTAATTCCAGCTACTCAGGAAGCTGAGACAGGAGAATCACTTGAACCCGGGAGGCGGAGGTTTCAGTGAGCCAAGATTGGGCCACTGTACTCCAGCCTGGGTGACAGAGCAAGACTCCATCTTTAAAAAAAAAAAAAAAAAAAATGAGCCAGGTGTGGTGGCACACACCTGTAATCCCAGCTACTCAGGAGGCTGAGGTAGGAGAATTGCTTGAACCCAGGAGGCTGAGGTTGTAGTGAGCCAAGATCTGCCCACTGCACTCCAGCCTGGGAAACAGAGCAAGACTCCATCTCAAAAAAAAGAAAAAACAAGAACATACTCATATTCCCATGTTCATACTTAAATTTAACTTTTGAAACAAATTTCTGATCAGTTTTTCTCAAAATACTAAAGTATTAACTTTTCTCACTATAGCTAAGTGTATATGCCCTTCATAATACAGTAACATGTTTAGATAGGTGTTTAATAAATACATTGATGATAAAACAAAACATTGTATTTCCTGTATTCCGATGACCTAAAACTACCATTTCCAAAAACATAGTAAACCACAGTCTGAATTCTACACAGAAAAAAGATATGCTTCTCAGCTTTCAGGTATCACATTTTACCTTCTGTAAATAAATCCTACCCACTCCTAGGAGAGCCATGAGCCACACGAAGGATGACAGTCTGATCACAGATGAGAATCTGAAGTCTAGGTATATAGTGTGCACCAGAAAGCCAGTACCAGGTTCCTTGGGATCTTAGACACGGTATCAGAATCTTAAACTAGCAGTCCAGAAAATCTTCAGTCTTCTTCTATGAGAGATTTCCACCATTCATGGTGTACCCCGCATAGATGTTTGTTGCTGTACTCCTATGATACTCTTCAGTATTGGGGAACACAGCATTGTTGGACCTGTAGGAGAGACTACAGATTTCCAAGTCATTAGCTATGTTTAAATGCTGCTCCCCTCAGACAAGTACGTAATTCTTTAAGGGTTTATTTAAGGGATTCTTTACGATTATTCTAAGATGCAGAGTAATAACTACCTCTCTGGATTGTTGATAACATTATCAATAAAGTATGTAAAACACCTCAAACAGTAGTGATCTGTCTTCTCAAACAGTGATCTATTTTAAAGTGATTATCAGGAGTCTGACACAGGTATAAAAAGTTTTTATTATCAGCATTGTACAGTATTCATAGATTTTATGAAGCATTCTCCAAAATATATCCTCCAAGGAGAGGTCTGCTTTATAGACTACCATATGCCTGGGAAAAAAAGACCCAATCTCCAGTTTTGTGTTGTTTTTTGAGACAGAGTGTTGCTCTATCACCCACACTGGAGTGCAGTAGTGTGATCTCAGCTCACTGCAACCTTCGCCTCCCAGGTTCAAGCAATTCTCCTGCCTCAGTCTCCCAAGTAGCTGGGACTACAGGCACGCAGTACCACACCCAGCTAATTTTTGTATTTTCTTTAGTAGAGACAAGGTTTCACCATATTTGTCAGGTTGGTCTCGAACTCCTGACCTCAGGTGATTTCACCCACCTCAGCCTCCCAAAGTGCTGGGATTACAGGCATGAGCCACTGCTCCTGGCCCCAATCTCCAGTTTTTACTACGCTTCTTTGCTCTCTTCTTCATCCCTTTCTACATTAAGAAGCCTCTTCCTTAAATCCTAAAGTCATTTTGTAGGCAATCTTTGCAACTGATGAGTTTAGTGCTGTTTTCTCCTCTATATAAAGTTGTTAACCTTTGCTGAGACTTCTGTTTCTTCATAGAGTCTTCCTTTGTTTCCCCCCATCCAGATGGCTCTTTTTATTAATTGGCTTATAATAGGGGCAGGTCAGTTTGCTGGAGATAGGAAAATGTTGAAAAACACAGCAAATAAGACACAAGCTAAATAAGCAGCGATTGCTATCCAAAACCTTGGATCTTTCAGCAGTGCTTTATCAAAGCAGCTAAACACCGTGTAGCCGATGGACATTCCAGCAAATCCACCTGCAATGTGAGCTGCAAAAGACACCTTGGGAGAAAAGGAGAAAATGGAAATAAGTGAAGACAATGCTAATTGTGTATTTCAGTTGCATCTCTCTTATTCAAACACAAATACCATCACAGTCAAACAAGAGTCTTAAAAGTCTAGAGAACTAGGGGTAAGACAGAAGAGACACAAAGCTCCATGTGCACAGAGAGAAGGAGATACTCTGAAACATACAAAGCTAAGAAATGTCATTTTCACCCATTCTTAGAGTACAAAAGACAGAGAAATTGTTTCTCATTCTTGATCATCATTGCATTTAAAATAATTCTATATGATGCCAACTAAAAGAATGGTTGAGTTGCCATGAGGGATCTCTATAGCAGCATAATCTGACTGCACATACATGGGGTGTCACATTTAAAACACAAGTAATAACGTACACAACAAATACCCAAACAGAAACCACCAAATTCAAAGATAAATCCCAGCAAAACTGGAAATTTTTGTCAATTTTCTTTATTGTCAGTTTATAGAACTCAAATTTTCATTGCGTTTCCAATCTGCTTTTTCATTTTGTTTTGTTTTTTGAAATGGGGTCTCAACTCTGTCACCCAGGCTGGAGTGCAGTGGCATGATCACAGCTCACTGCAGACTCAACCTCTGAGACTCAAGCAATCCTCCCATCTCAGCTTCCCAAGTAGCTGGGACTACAGGCACATGCCACCATGCCTGGCTAAACCAATCTGCTTTTTATTCTACGTGGACAGGAAAATCCATTCTCTCCTGTTTTCTGGGATTTTTTGTTGCTGTTGTTTTGTTCTGTTTTGTTGAGATGGAGTCTCACTCTGTCACCCAGGCTGGAATGCAGTGACGTGATCTCGGTTCACTGCAACCTCCACCTCCCGCATTCAAGCGATTCTCCTACCTCAGCCTCCCGAGTAACTGAGATTACAGGTGCCTGCCACCAAGCCCGGATAATTTTTGTATTTGTAGTAGAGAAGGGGTTTCACTATATTGGCCAGGCTGGCCTCGAGCTCCTGACCTTGTGATCCGCCAGTCTCGGCCTCCCAAAGTGCTGGAATTACAGGCGTGAGCCACCGCGCCCGGCCATTCTCTCCTGTTTTGGAATAGCTACCAATATGGCAGGTGCAGTGAAGTAGAGCCAATGATTAAGGCTATGAGAGAGTTAAGTAGGAAGGACAATTCAAAAGTCTGATTTCCTTAAAAATTTTCTTAACTTCCAAATGGAAATTTGGCTGCCTTAAATCACAGCGTTGTAACCCCTATTTGATAACCCTTTTTGACAGTAAACAAATTTCCATTTTATAAAAGAAAGAAACTGAACTCACCGGAGACCCATCTTCAGGAACAAAGAACCTTCTGTAGAGAGCAAATCCCATGTCTAACACAACTAGAAGGAAAAACACTCTGATAAAGGCTCAGAATCTCCACAATAGTACACCAAATGTTTTTGGTTCCCCTCTAATAATAATAATACTAGCTATCATTTATTGAGACTTAACTCTGTGACAGGTGCTTTTCTATGAGATTTTTTTAACTCATTAATCTTCATCACAACCCTATGAAGTAGGAACTATCATTATCCCATTTTACAGATTTATTCATCCAACAAGCATTCATTGTCCTCTATGTGTCAGGCATCATTCTAGCTGGTAGATGGGCAGCAGTGGGCAGATCCAACAGACCTGCCTCATGTAGCTGACAAACTGTTGGCGGGTGTGGCGGGGAGTGATTGGCAGGGAGGCAAACAAATAAGTAAAACATACAGTATGTCAAATAGTGCTAAGAGCTATGGAGAAAATACAAAGAGAGGAAGAAGAACTAGGAATGCCAGATGTCAAGTGTGATTTCCAATAGGGGTATCAAGGAGGATCTCTCTGAGAATATGACGCTGGACAGAGGTAAGGGTCCAAGTCATGCTGCTATTTGACACAAGAGTGTTTCAGAGAGAGGGAAGACCAAGTACAAAGTCCCTAAGCAGGAATATGCCTGGTGTGTATGAAAAATACCAAAGCAGTTGAGCTGGCTGGATCAGTGGTTTTCAAAGTGGTTTTTACCAAGACCAGCAGTATCAGCTTCACCTGGAAACATTAGAAATGAAAACTCTTAAACCCACCCCAGACCTACTGAACCAGAAACCTTGAGGGTGGGACTCAGCTTTCTGTTTTGTTTTTAGAAGGTGAGTTGTACACTCCTTAGCAGATTCCAACTTCCATGGCTGTGTTTTCCAACTACCAAGTGTGGTCAAGTTGTTGTTTCCAACAACTTTAACGAGACCTCCAGGTGATTCTGGACTAGAGTTAGGGATAAGGTTGTGGGTGATGACATCAAATAGGTAGCAGGGGACAGATTATGTAGTGTCTATATGGGCCATTGTAAGGACTTCAACTTTTACTGAGTGATAGGAAGTCTTTGAAAGCTCTTGAGCACAGGAGTGACATGGTACATTTTGTTTGTTTGTTTGTGACAGAGTCTCAACTCTGTCGCCCAGGCTGGAGTGCAGTAGTACAATCTCGGCTCACTGCAACCTCCACCTCCCAGGTTCAAGCAATTTTCATGCCTCAGCCTCCTGATTAGCTGGGATTATAGACATGTGCCACCACACCTGGCTAATCTTTGTATATGTAGTAGAGACGGGGTTTCACCATGTTGGTCAGGTTGGTCTCGAACTCTTGAACTCCTGACCTCAGCTGTTCCACCTGCCTGAGCCCCACAAAGTGCTGGGATTACAGGCGCCTGCCACCATGCCCAGTTAATTTTTGTATTTTTAGAAGAGACAAGGTTTCACCGTGTTGACCAGGCTGGTCTCCAACTCTTGAACTCCTGACCTCAGGTGATCCACCCACCTCGGCCTCCCAAAGTGCTGGGATTACAGGCTTGAGTGACCACACTGGTGGTTTTACAAAGATTATTCTAGCTGACATATAGGAAGCAGACTATAAGGGAGCAAGAACAGGAACTGGAAGACCAGCTGGAAAAATACTATTGTAGCAATCAAAGTGAAGAAGGATGGTGGCATTTTATACATAAAGAAATCAAGACACCAAGGCTCCACTCTCAGCCACCATGGTAATTGCCTGTAATTGCCATTGGGAGTTCTGAAGGTGTCAGGCCATGAAAGCAAATGATTCCATATTCTCCAATAAAACTGTGAGAGCCAGAAGTTAGGCAGTCTTCAAGTAAGTCAGATCTGTGCTGCAAAAGAAGCTTCCGATTTCTTGGCCTAGAAGAACTCTGCCCTGTATGTGTAGTGCTAGGAAACATCTCTTGCAGCTATTGCATTCCACACCCACCCCCTAATTCCCTGTGCTCTACTTAGTGAGCCACTGTGTCCTAGGAGATGAAAAGACCTAGTCCTTGCCTTTGGGAAAATAGCATCAGGACATGTGTTCTGACTAGATTCCCTTTCAATACTGTATTGATTGATGTTGAAGTCACTGGACAGAAATTGAGGTCGAGGAAGTATTCAATATTCATTTAATTGTAAATGACTATTACAAAGTGCTAGATTAATGAGGCTGTATCATATTGTCTTTTTGTTTTGTTTTGTTTTGAGAGACAGTCTCGCTGTCACCTAGGCTGGAGTGCAGTGGTGCATTCTCAGCTCACTGCAACCTCCGCCTCCTGAGTTTAAGTGATTCTCCTGCCTGAGCCTCCTGAGCAGCTAGAACTACAGGCCCATGTCACCACACCCGGCTCATTTTTGTATTTTTAGTAGAGACAGGGTTTCACCATGAGACCAGGATGGTCTCAATCTCCTGACCTCGTGATCCACCCACCTCGGCTTCCCAAAGTGCTGGGATTACAGGAGTGAGCTACCATGCCTAGCCCATATTTTCAATCATCATTTGCATTTCCTGGTCCACATAAATAACATGCCCATGGGTCTATGAAAGTATTTTTAAAAACACTGCCACATAACTGGAAACAGTTACTTTGGTTTAGTCTTCTAGGATAGGAGACCTCCTCTCAGAAAGTCTTTGTAACCATTAGTATGTCAATTTCTCCAACCAGTTTCTCTCCATCTTGCCCCTTCCTATATCTGAGTCTGGCTCTTTCCTCTTTCTGCTTCCTAGGGGACTTTTCTTCTGGGTTGCTGCTGCGTCTAAACTGAGACATGTCTTCCAACCTGAAAATAAGCCCTTACTCCAAGAAGCCAAACCATTGTCCTCATTAAAAATCTTACATTTACTTTGAAAGAGTTGCCTTCATATGAATTTTTTTTGAGACAACCTCGCTCTGCCTCCCAGACTAGAGTACAGTGGTATGATCACGCTCACTGCAGCCTCGACCTGCCAGGCTCAGGCGAATTCTCCCACCTCAGCCTCCTGAGGAGCTGGAACCACAGGCCCACACCGCAACACCCGACCAATTTTTTTGTAGAGACAGAGTCTCCCTATGTTGCACAGACTGGTCTCGAACATAATGCTTGATGAAGGAATGTTTTTCAGGCCAATTGCCATTCACAATTAAGAATATTTATAACTTGGCTGGGCGTGGTGGCTCACAGCTATAATCCCATAACTTTGGGAGGCTGAGGCGAGTGGATCACCTGAGGTCAGGAGTTCAAGACCAGCCTGACCAATATGGTGAAATCCCATCTCTAGTAAAAATTCAAAAATTAGCCAGACGTGGTGGCATGCACCTGTAGACAGGAGAGGCTGAGACAGGAGAATTGCTTGAACCGGGAGGCGGAGGTTGCAGTGAGCCAAGATCACGCCACTATACTCTAGCCTGGGCAACAGAGCGAGACTCCATCTCAGAAAAAAAAAGAATATTTACAACTTAAAACAAAATTGTATACATTTCCAAAGAAACATGTTTTAAATACAAATGCATTTATATTTTATTAATCTGGTATATGTTGTAACTCTTCCCATTTTCAATAGTAGGTAAACCAGGCCAAAGAACTTTTGGAAATGAAGCAGACTGACTGAAGACCCCATATCGTGAGTGACAACCTTTCTGTGCCCAAACAATGTGTCCTCTGATTCTGGGTGTGACCCTGAACAACTGAGGAGGCAGCTCAGCTCCTGCAGCGGCTCTGCTGCCTCCCAGATACTCACTCTCCTTTCTCTTAGGTTTTGAATTTGTTATGAAGAAAAAAATTAAGAATAGTATAAACTATAAACAAGTGAATTATTTTATCTCAGAGTGAAATATTAATGTTCTTACAATTAAATCGTCAATAAACTAAAGAGTCCCTTCCCACAGACATAGTTGCCTCTGTTCCTGTAATGGGGATAATTGAACCCTTGATAGAAATTGCAAAATCCTGTTTTCTTACTATGTGGACAGCCAACATCTTAGGCTTTATCAGGTATAACCTCTGCCTTGGCTTTCAGGTCTGACCCCAGGGTCTGTCATTCTTCCACAGCCCTCCAGGTAGAGAAAACTTCAACTGGAGCAGGTCCGTCAACACCAGTTACCACCCCCACCTTTGATCTTGCTTTCTTCCATGCTCTATGGCCTGCTGTCATCTGGAATCTACCTTTACTCTCAGACTCAGCTGCACTTCCATCGCCTCTCCAGGCAGCATTCTTCCTAACCTCCTTTAGCATGTGATTCTAGAATTCTTGGAGATTTCAAAAGCCACATTAGTCACCCTCTTGGTCTGGGCTTCTTGAACAGTTTGCCTGCCACCCCCGCCCTGGCCCAGCTCTCTATCATTAATCCTCAACTATCAACTATCACTCAATACTTATATTCTGGATCAGTTTTTTTTTTTTAATCTGAAAATTTAGAAATTGAGGAAGAAAAGAGATTATATCAGTGGTTTCCAAGTTTTCCCTTTGCAGACAAAATCACATACAGCTTCCAATATATGAAAAAGTCCAGTATATAAAATATAAGTGAAGCTATTGTGGTTCAAGTAGAGGGGGTGCCTAGGGCTCTATTCTCTTGGCTTCCCCCACTCCATAAAGATACAAAAAGCAAAAATACGTCATGTAGGCATGTCTAAGAACCACCCATGAGAGCCTGTAAAACTCCTTTAATTCTTTCTGCTTAGTGCTGTGAAGTGGACAATTTTTTTCTAACTGTAGATTTGCAGTTATTCTCCATGTTAGTGTTTGGGAAATGTGGAAAGGCCTTCTGAAGGCTAAACCAATAACATTGTGAAAATACTGTGTGAGTTGATTATGCAAAATAGGTCATTATTGTCAAACCCAACTAAATCAGAGTTGAGGGGCTAGGGGACAAAAGCACACGGCACTGCTCCAACAATTGAATTCTCCACAAGCCCAGCTGCTGAAACTACCTGCTCTAACCATAAGACTAGTTTTACCTAATAGCTGCTGAAACAAATTGAGTCCAAGAATCAGGTCTAAACAACACAGGTCTAAGACTAGTTCTCCCCACTATCATCACTCACCAACCAGCTCCCAAAGGCTGCTCTAGTGCCAATGAGCTTTCTTTCAATATAATATGTAAAATTTATCTTTCTAATAAACCCTCCAGCCTTTTCTTTTGTACTTCTGACATACCATAGACCTCCCAGGTCTGTGTGCATGCCCCAAATTGCAATTCTGTGATTCCCAAATAAAATGTTTAGAGATTTGTCTCTATATTTTAGTTTCACTTTGACAGTATGAAGTGTTCACAAAACACACTTACTTATCAGGATGATGACCAGCAGTCTGAAAATTCCAAAGGCAGGAATCATTTCTCGAAAATTCTTGCAAAGAGATAAATAATAATTATATAAGCTATCTATGGACAAATGAAACCTCAACTCTATTCCCTCTTCATCTGCTCTTCATTTGAAATAATCTTCCAGTGTCAAATACTTGCAAATCAAAGCATGAGTGTCACAGCCAAGTTTTTAAAATGTATTTAGGAAATACAATGCACTTTGGGGAATAAAATGACAAGATATTTAATTTAATGATATAAATGACACAATTTTGCTAGCTAGAAATAATCTCAATAAAAGTAATATAAAATCACTTGTCAATAAATAAATAGATAAATAAATGCTGTTAAACTAAGATTGATGAAATATTCCTAAGATTTTTGGTTAATATTCATTTGATATTTCTTCATCCTCTTTCCCAGTAGTATTTAGCAAAGACTTAACTGAGATTTGAGTATTACCTTAATTTTTTGAGGTAATTTCAAAAACATTGAAAATATTGGTAAAAAATTATTGCAGGGATTTTTGTGGGGGGGCTCTTGCGGTTCTGTGAGGGGAGGTAGAAGACAGGAAGGGTCTCACTCTGTCACCCAGGTTGGAGTGCAGCAGTGCAATCTATAGCTCACTGCAGCCTCGAACTCCTAGACTCAAGCCTTCCTCCTGTCTCAGACTCCTGAGTAGCTGGGACTACAGGTGGACGGTGGCACACCTGGCTCACTGTGGGATTTTAGTTTTGGGTCCCTTGCATGTCACTGGTGAACTGCTGAGTGAGGCATTTCTAATATAATTTATTGAATTACTTGTCCCTTCCCTTTCAAATTAGTAACTCTCTTCCCAAGGAGTAAAGATGCTGAAATAGGCACGTTTACTCTAAATCAATTATTTTCAAACTCTTGTGACCACAACCTACAGTAAGAAGTACTTTACCTAACAACCCAGTACACACATAAATCAAACGATAACACTGACTTTTTTTTTCTTGGGCTTAACTTTTGGCCACAATTCCTTAAAGTGAGTCTACAACCACTAATGGGTTGCAATCTAAAGTTGAAAAAACCACTTTACTTAGTGATTTCTATATTTGGAACAGTTTTATAATTGCTTTACACTTTTCTACGTATAATTTTTTTTTTTAATTTTTTTTTGAGATGGAATCTCACTCTGTCGTTCAGGCTGCAGTGCAGTGGCACAATCTTGGCTCACTGCAACCTCCACTTCCCAGGTTCAAGCAATTCTCCTGCCTCAGCCTCCAGAGTAGCTGGGACTACAGGCGTGTGCCAGCACACCCAGCTAATTTTTGTATTTTTAGTAGAGATGGGGTTTCACCATGTTGGCCAGGATGGTCTCGATCTCTTGACCTTGTGATCCGCCCACCTCAGCCTCCCAAAGTGCTGGGATTACAGGCATGAGCCACCACGCCCGGCTTAGAAATTTATCCTACCAAAAAAAAAAAAAAAAAAAAAAAAAAAAAAAAAAAAAAATTCACACAAATGCAAAGAGATAAATGCAAAAGAGCTTTTTTTTTTTTTTTTTTAAGACAGAGTCTCATTTTGTTGCCAGGCTGGAGGGCAGTAGCGTGATCTCAGCTCACTGCAACCTCCGCCTCCCAGGTTCAAGCCATTCTTCTGCCTCAGCCTCTCAAGTAGCTGGGACTACAGGCACACGCCACCACACCCAGCTAATTTTTGTATTTTTAGTAGAGACGGGGTTTCACCATGTTGGCCAGGAAGGCCTCGATCTCTTGACCTCATGATCCACCCACCTCGGCCTCCCACAGTGTTGGGATTACAGGTGTCAGCCACCACACCCGGCCAAGAGCATTTCTTATAGTGTTACTTGTAAACATGAAAAGCAAGAATCACCCCAGATTTTTTTCAATGAGCGATTCATTAAATAAATCATGGTGCATCTATATAGAGGATGCTAGGGAGCAGCTGCTAAGCTGGGAGCATTTCTAAGCACTGACATGGGTAGACGGTCAGGATGCTCTGTGATAAAATGCAGAACAATATAAGGGTGATGTCACTGTTATAAGATTAACATTGGTAGGATTTTTCATACATGTAGAAAAAGGTCTGGGCTGCTCTGCCTATGAAGTAGTTGTTCTTTTATTCCTTTACTTTCTTAATAAACTTGGTTTCCTTTAAGAAAATAAAAATAAAACAGGCTGAGGCCGGGCGCGGTGGCTCACGCCTGTAATCCCAGCACTTTGGGAGGCCGAGGCGGGCGGATCACAAGGTTAGGAGATCGAGACCACGGTGAAACCCCGTCTCTACTAAAAATACAAAAAATTAGCCGGGCGCGGTTGTGGGCGCCTGTAGTCCCAGCTACTCGGGAGGCTGAGGCAGGAGAATGGCGGGAACCCGGGAGGCGGAGCTTGCAGTGAGCCGAGATCGCGCCACTGCACTCCAGCCTGGGCGACAGAGCGAGACTCCATCTCAAAAAAAGAAAATAAATAAATAAATAAATAAATAAATAAAACAGGCTGAAAAAAATATGAAACTGTCAACAATGTCTTTCACCACCCACCCAACTGTTAACAGATACTGTATTGAGGACCTTAACTTTCTACTTTTTTATTTAAAATTGTATGTAGTACTCATTACTTTTGAAATCAGAAAAAAAAAAAAAATGATAAAATATGAAAGGAAACTAGGTGCGGCGGCTCACACCTGTAATCCCAGCACTTTGGGAGGCCAACGTGGGCGGATCACTTGAGCCTAGGAGTTCGAAACCAGCCTGGGCAACATGCCAAAACCCTGGCTCTACAAACAATAAAAACATTAGTCAGGCATAGTGGCCCACACCTGTAGTCCCAGCTATTCAGGAGGCTGAGGTGGGAGAATTGCTTGAGCCCAGGAGGCAGAAGTGCAGTGAGCCAGTATCACACTACTGCATTCCAGCCTGGGCAATGGTGCAAGACTCTGTCTCAGAAAAAAAGAAAGAAAAGGAAGGAAACAAAATGGCATTGCCATACAATTCTCAGAAAAATTAGTGCTCAGTAAATATTGATAAATGAAGATTCATTAAACGAACGAACAGTTACTGTTTTCTGTTTTTTTAAGAGACCCGTGGACTCCATCCCCGTGGTTCTTACCACCAGAACATTCATAAAATAGCCTCCCATCAGAGCATAGACTCCTCCTGAAGCTCCCACAAGATATCTGAGTGGGTCAAAGATGGAGCTGGCAAGGGACCCTAAAGAAATAAAACACAAAGGATCAGACATGACTCTATGGATCAGGAAAGATAAATCTTTCTAATCTAAGGTAGACATTTGGGAAATTTGGCCTATTAATATTAGCAAGCAACAAACCTGTTTTGTCCCTTTCATACCATAGAAGTATAACTGTATATGCTAACTACCACAGTGTTTCTGAAAACACTGAATGTTCATTAGAACAGCAACATAACAGTAACAATGGAAAATTGTCTGGAGCCAAAATTACCAGCAGTGTAATTTGAGGAAGTTAGTTAACTTCTCTGTGTCTCAGTTTCCCTACCTGCAAAATGGGGCTATTAACAGAACTTACCTCAAGGGATTGTCAGGGTAAGTAAATGAGTTGATGTATGTTTCGTGCTTAGAATACTGCCTGATGTGTATAATATATTTGTTAGCTATTCAGTTGGTGCAAAAGTAATTGCGGTTTTGCTATTACTTTTAAGGGCAAAAACTGCAATTATTTTTGCCGCAACCTAATATTATTGCAAAATATCCTATGTTTAGTCAAAACACCTGAGACAATCCAACATGTTACTATCTAATGGCTATCTTTCTCAATGAGCCATAATGTGCCCTCAGAATCCTTCTCAACATACCATCCAATCAGATTCCCCAAGCAAGATGAATCCTATTTGCTAAACTCATCCTAGATTTGCTGGACCAAAACAAGGCTTTACAAACCACCTTATGCAAAGACTAAAATATTCTCTCTACACTGCTTAGTTCTATTACTTGGTGTATTCCTTTCAAGGCCATCTTTCATTTCCTTAGTGTATAATACAATACAATACCTACTTTGTGCAAGAAAAAGTGTCTGTCCTTAGTAACTTTACAAAAAGATGAACAAATGACTATTATAAAGTGCAAAATATAACAACTATTATGACGAAAATAAATTTATTGTAGAAGCACTTGGGAAGGAGTGATTTTCTAGGCAGAAGGCTGGAGTCCTTGCTACTCTGAGGAGGAGGAGATAACATTTTGATTAAACTTTGAAGAATCTTTAAGACTGGCCAGACATGGCGGCTCACTCCTGTAATCTCAGCGCTTTGGGAGGCTCAGGCAGGAGGATTGCTTGAGGCCAAGAAGTCAGGAGTCTGAGACCAACCTGGGCTACAGAGTGAGACCCGTCTCCAAAAATATAAGAAAAATATTAGCCAAGCATGGTGGTACACGCCTGTGGTCCTTGCTACTCAAGAGGCTGAGCTGATAGGATCACTTGAGCCCAGGAGATTGAGGCTGCAGTGAGCTATGATCATGCTACTGCACTCTAGCCTGGGTGACAGAGGAAGACCTCCCTGCTCATTCCCATATACAAAAGGATTGGATCAGAAAAACAAAAGAGAAGAAGGTATTCAGAACTTGGAGAACTGTAGAAGCAATGGCATAGAAACAGGTATATGGAAGACTGAAGATCAATGAGAAGTAGTCCAGTAGGCCGGGCGTGGTGGCTCACGCCTGTAATCCCAGCACTTTGGGAGGCCATGGCAGGTGGATCGCCTGAGCTCAGGAGTTCAAGATCAGCATGGGCAACATGGTGAAATCCCGTCTCTACTAAAAATACAAAAATTAGCCAGGCGTGGTGGCAGGCACCTGTAATCCCAGCTATTTGGGAGGCTGAGGCAGGAGAATAGCATGAACCCTGGAGGTGGAGGTTGCAGTGAGCTGAGATCGCGCCACTGCACTCCAGCCTGGGCAACAAGAGTTAGACTCCGTCTCAAAAAAATTGAAAAAAAAAAAAAAATACAGGGCCGTGCGCGGTGGCTCACACCTGTAATCCCAGCACTTTGGGAGGCCGAGGCGGGCGGATCACAAGGTCAGGAGATGGAGACGATCCTGGCTAACAAAGTGAAACCCCATCTCTACTAAAAATACAAAAAATTAGCTGGGCGTGGTGGCGGGCGCCTGTAGTCCCAGCTATTCGGGAGGCTAAGGCAGGAGAATGGCATGAACCCAGGAGGTGGAGCTTGCAGTGAGCTAAGAACGTGCCGCTGCACTCCAGCCTGGGCAACAGAGCGAGACTCCATCTAAAAAAAAAAAAAGTTAGCTGGTTGTGGTGGCACGTGCCTGTAATTCCAACTACTGGAGAGTCTGAGGCACGAGAATCACTTGAACCCAGAAGGCAGAGGTTACAGGGAGCCGAGATCGCACCACTGCACTCCAACCTGGTGACAGAATGAGACTCTGTTTCAAAAAAAAAAAAAAAAGTAGTAGTCCAGAGCAACTTAGAGCAATGATTCTCAAATGCTAACCTATAGACTAGGGCTGGGGTGATTGTATCATAATCATACCAGAAATTTATTTTTTAAATAGATACAAATGTCTACTTCTGACCATGATAAGGTAACAAGAATAGGATTTGCTGTCTCACTTGAAAAAGCCAAAAGCACTGGACAACATATATGAAAGAATGGTCTTCAAGATACTACACCTCAGAAAACAAAACCAATAAACCCTTAGAGACAGGGAATCAGTTATTAATAGATGAGTTATCTGATTGCCCAGGTACTACCTTGAGGGAAATTACAGAATACAGTGCATGAAGCAGAAACCCAGGCAGATCTCAGCAAACTTTAAGTTAATGAGATGAAGTTTAGAGTCCAGATAGATCTGGACTGCTAGAGTTTATAAGACAGGGTACCAGAGAGCAGAAAGCTGCATACAGAAAACTCTAGAAAGGAGCATGCAAGGAAATTACCCAAGCCAAGGAAAGAACCACCAAAAATGAAGTGGGAAGACTACCTGTTGCTTACACAGCACCAGAGAGGCTAAGTAACTTTCTGTACTGGAAAACTCTTGTTTCCACGCATCATAAGTCTGGGCATTGTATGACACGTAAGTTACACCTCAATCTTAAAATGTGTCAGGACAAAACCACACACTGCAGGGGGCAGGGCTCCACCACCAGTTACTCACTTCCCTTGAAACAGAAGCTCAAGTAAGAGTAGTGTTCTGTGGCTAAGCTTGTTTTCCCTCCTTTCTGACTTCTAGGAATGATCCTTGTTCTGAACAGGATTTGAGGTAATGTAGGAAACTGCTCTCAATACAGAATTTTTAACTTGATGAAAAAATTGGAAAGAAGGGAAATCAGAGTAGGAAAATCAAGTGTGATCAGTATGAAGTTAGCATACAAAGGAAGTGCAGCAAGGCCCAGGCACCCGCAGAGAAGGGACTCAGGCAACAGCCAGAGGGGGCCAGGCAATCAGAGGCATGTCACTAAGGTCAAAGGTGGGGCAGACCTTGGTCCCCTGCCCCCGTGGCCACCTTACCCAGGCCACCCCAATAGCATGAACTGTCCTACAAGGTCACCATACCTAGGGAAGATGGGGGGCAGTTTCTCAATGCTGGTGTTTGGTGAGCCCAAGAGTGCTCAGCCTTTACTGTCCTCCCTAACAGGCATCTGGGGCACAGGGATGCTGACCCTTGAACTCCTAATTGGGATTGGAATTCAGGTCCCTTGGGAACACTGGGCACCTAGGGACATGAGGGCAGGACTGGCCACAGCCAGGTTTCCCTTAGAAACAGACTGGTTGAATTAATGAACTGAACAAATGAACCGATGTGTTTTGCCCCAGAGAAAAATGAGCTTTGTCCTGGGTGGAGTGATTGCCTTTGAAAAGCCATCAAGGCCACCTGCCAACAGTCGAGAGCTGAGCTGCTGTGTTCCTGGCTGACTCTGGCCCTTCCAGTCCTCCTCTGGGTCTGGCCAGTCCTGCAAGCTCATGGCCAGGGTGATAATGATGGTGGCAACACCATGATCCTCACTGCCCTTCCTGGGACAGGAGGGCCCCAAGGACTGATAAGCCAAATCCGGGGCTTCCCTCCACTGCTTTTCTGCCCTGCGACTTTTCTCTAGGTCCTTTCCTCCAAGCAATGTGGGGATGTGTACCGGAAAATGCCATAATTAATGGGTGTTGCATAGAGTACACAAAAGGGTCCAGTGGTAGGAATAATTACCTTCTTACCAAAAAGAATCAAAGTAACATAACTGCTTCCAAGTAACATAACTGAGTTACAGAACAAATCTAAAAAGTATTTATGGCCTGGCACGGTGGTTCATACCTGTAATCCCAGTACTTTGGAAGGCCAAGGCGGGTAGATCACTTGAGGTCAGGAGTTCAAAAGCAGCCTGACCAACATGGTGAAACCCCTTCTCTACTAAAAATACAAAAATCAGCCGGGCATGGTGGTGTGCACCTGTAATCCTAGCTACTCGGGAGGCTGAGACACAAGAACCCCTTGGGCCGAGTGCAGTGGCTCACGCCTGTAATCCCAGCACTTTGGTAGGCCAAAGCAGGTGGATCATTAAGGTCAGGAGTTTGAGACCAGCCTGGCCAACATGGTGAAACCCCATCTCCACTAAAAACACAAAAATTAGCTGGGCATGGTGGCACATGCCTGTAATCCCAGTTACTTGGGAGACTGAGGCGGAAGAATTGCTTGAGCCTGGGAGGCGGAGGTTGCAGTGAGCTGAGATCCACCACTGCACTCTGGCCCGGGTGACAAGAGTTAGACTCTGTCTCAAAAATAAATAAATAAATAAAAGAATCACTTGAACCTGGAAGACGGAGGTTGCAGTGAGCCAAGACTGTGCTACTGCACTCCAGCCTGGATGACAGAGTAAGACTCTATCTCAAAAAAAAACCTAAATAAATAAAAATAAAAAATAAAAAGTATTGGCCGTGCACAGTGGCTCATGCCTGTAATCCCAGCACTTTGGGAGGTAAAGGCAGGCAGATCACTTGAGGTCAGGAGTTCAAGACCAGCCTGACCAACATAGCAAACCCTGTCTCTACTAAAAATACAAAAATTAACCAGGCAGTGGTGGCATATATCTGTAGTCCCAGCTACTTGGGAGGCTGAGGCAAGAGAATCACTTGAACCCAGGAGGCAGAGGCTGCAGTGAGCCAAGATCACACCACTGCACTCCAATCTGGGTGACAGAGCAAGACTCCATCTCTAAATAAATAAATAA